CACACACACACACACACACACACTCAAACCCCATTGATGTCTTTGTCTTTTTATGTTCGATTTAATATTTTTTTAAAAAGACATTAAACAGATATTAAAACTAATAGATTTTAATTTACTTGTCATCCCTTAGTTCATATTGTGGTGTTTTTACTTCAGTAAACGTTGAGAAGACCACTTCCCTTTAGTTAAGGAAATCACAGTCAGTCCTTTGATTGAAGCGTAGCGTGCGTCCATCCGCATGATTCAAAAATCTACTAACTGCTGACAGGAAGTCGTCAGCACGCTCATACGTCACTTCACTCCAATACGGAAGAGGTCGTCATCGTTAAGGCTGTGAGTTGGAAGGTATGTGAAATGTGATAAAACGATCGCAGTTTGTGAGTAGAACAGCTCGTGCTTCAGTAGTTTGAATGAATGAAGCACTGTATGTGTTTCCTGGGCAACGAGGGCGCCCGTCAGTCCTTTTCCAGTCTCGCGGCGGTTTAGTTCCCTGCAGGTCTCGTGAGCCGGGCTTGCAGTTAACGGTGAAATCCATAAGTGGCTGCAAATGTAATGCAATATCTTCTAAAAATGGGACGTTAATGTGGGAACCAGATGCCTTCCCTTTCGTGAAAGCTAAAACTTGGTGAAGTTTTTTTTTTCCTTCTGGAAGAGGGAGTGTGTGCGGTAGGAGTGCTCTTTGAATCCCCCCCCAACCACCTTTTTATAAATAAACCTTTCTGTCTTTCGGCAGCACGGATATGTCGTGGATAAAAGAAGGCGAGTTGTCCCTGCTTGAAAAGATTTCTGCCAATATCCTAAAGGTAAGCTGTACGTTATAAGTTGACCGTCTTTTCCAGCCTCGCTTTTGTCGGTCTTCTGCCTTTCTATGACTCAAATCAAATCACTTTTATTGTCACATCACATGTGCTGGTACACTGGTACAGCGCATACGAGTGAAATTCTTGTGTGCAGGCTTCACAAGCAACAGAGGTGTGCAAAATATAAGAAAGGGAATCTGAGAATTATAAGAATGCATATATGTATACCAAATATGTGTGCCTTGACAAAAATATCAAGTATGTCATTTCAGAGTATCTGGATGGAAAATAGAGTGACAAACTGAGCCATTTAGAAAAACATCAAACTATTTATTTATTTGTTTGACAAGGTTAAGATTCAGAAAATACCATAAAGAAAAGCTTACAAATAATAATAATAATAATAATAATAATAGTTCTTAATTAAATATCTAGGGTCATGAGCTGGTGCTATTGTCTGTAACCCCTGAGGGGGCCACAGGGAATGACTTATTAGTTATCGTTCAAAATGCAAACATATTAGTTGATGGTGATGAGGGGTTTTTTTTAAATCTGGAAATTGCTATTTTATTTAAATTTGAAATGTTTCGAAAAAAAGTTGTACGTGACATTTTTGTGATAAGATATCAGCAGATATCTACATAGCATTAGACAGTGTTGGTCTTTTATGGATTACCGTAGATTGCATTAATGCTTTTTCTTCTGCATTTCTTTGGACTCTTTTGACTGTTGTCGTCCAGGCAGGACCCATGCCTAAACATGTGGCCTTCATCATGGATGGTAATCGACGTTTTGCACGTAAGAAAAACATGGAACGGCAGGAAGGACACATGCAGGGCTTCAACAAGCTGGCAGAGGTGAGTTTGGGGGTTTCGGCTACAGGAAATGCATGTCACATGGGCAGAAACAAATTGATGATGTGTGTCAAAATGCTTCGTCTTCTCCACACCAGACACTACGTTGGTGCAAGCATCTGAACATCCCAGAGGTGACGGTGTATGCCTTCAGCATTGAGAACTTCAAGCGCACCGAAGATGAGGTGGATGGTTTGATGGAGCTCGCCAGGCAGAAGTTTGAAAGGCTGCTGGAGGAACAGTGAGTTTCGAGCTGAGTTTTCCACTTTGCTTGTGGTCACAGTTTGTACATCATATGATTCATTGCTTCCTTAAAGTAAAGTTTAGAAAGAGTGACTTGCAGCGCTCAAGCATAAATCTGAAGTTAAAGTAAATGAGGGTCTGTACATGAGAAAACAATTTTAAACCAGTTTTGACGACCTGTTTCCAGCAGAGGCACGAGATCCTTGGAGTTCACCTTTAGGGTGGGCTTGGATGGAAATCTGTTGTTATTTGTTTGTTTGTTACTTTTGGTTCAGACAGACACAACAACAGTGTTGACGCAGAAACATTTACTAATGTATCAGACACTGAGTCAGATGCAGTGTGCTAATGGTGGGATGGCCAAGAGGAAGCAAGGGTAAATAGGGAGTCTGTTATTTCCACTGGTCTCTTCAATAGTGCTTACTTTTTCACTGTAGTGCAGTATGTCAAGCTCAGACTAGTCAACTAACGTGGATTCTCTTTTCGTTTTACTCTGTGGTCATTGTGGCGCTTGTACTATTTATTTATTAAGCAGCTGATGACTGCTGCAGATACATTTTCAAGCTAAGGTGGAGGCCTGTTAGTCTGCAAGCCATTTCTCTCTGTTTCCACACAAGTATGAAATATTTTACAGCTGACTTATTTCTTCACTTTGGGGAAATAAAACAAAGAGCTTGCTGACTAATCCATTGCTTAATGTTGCCCTTTAGTCTGTATTTGTTGCACACAAGACTGTGGTATTAGTAGCTCACTTGTTCAAATGCCATGTTTTGCTCCTTTTTTTTTTAAAATCTGAGTAACCTGTCTAAAGAATTTAACACTGTAAAAAAAAAAAATCCCCTTCTATTGGATGTTGTATTATGTCTATCAAAATTTGGACAAATTTGTTTATGAGGCTGCTGGCTGTTTATGATACAAGGTTATTATTTTTCGAACGATTGACATCCTTATGACAAACCACTTCTGCACAGTGCTGGACAGCAGACTCTTTCAAGTCCACTGTACACACTGAGTACTCAAAATTCTCCGGAGTCTCCTTTGTGTTTTTCTGGGTAGAAAATCCAGACAGACAAGTTTCAGGATCCTGAGTAGTCTTTCTGTATATCCTGTTCATCTTCATGCCTTTTCTATAAATGTCTTTCGGTTTTGTTTTGCAGTGAAAATCTAGAGAAACATGGCGTTTGTATCCGAGTGCTGGGCGACTTGAATATGCTGCCACTTGACCTTCAACAGCTTATTGCCAAAGCCGTGTTCACAACCAGGAATCACAATAAGTATGCTTAGTAGCTTGTGTTTTTCATTGTGCATGATATCCTGTACATTAGAAGTGACCACAGCACCACAAATTCTTGTTTTGTAGGTGTTTTGTCAATGTGTGTTTTGCCTACACATCAAGATATGAAATCACCAATGCAGTCAGGGAAATGGCATGGGGAGTAGAGCAAGGCCTGATCAAAGGAAGGTAAACGAAACAGCAATGAGTTCATCTTGTCATCCTTTGTTAAATACTCTGTAGAAAGGTGTCCTGGAGAGCCATTGTGTTAACAAGCTGTTTGTGTTTCTGTGATGTGTAGTGATGTGTCGGAGGCATTGCTAAGTGAGTGTCTGTACAGCAATAACTCGCCAAATCCTGATTTGCTCATCCGCACCTCTGGAGAGGTGCGCCTCAGCGACTTCCTTCTTTGGCAGGTGAGAGTGAGATAGGTGTCATCAACAGCTAATAAAGTTCACCATACACAGTCCCAATCAAAAGTTTAATACTACTTGAAAAATGGCAAAAAATCATGTTTTGCATGGTTAGTTCTTAACAAGGTTCCAAGTAGAGCTTCAATATGCAACAAGAAGAAATGGGAGTGAGACACAACATTTTTTTTTTGAGCATGCAAATGATTGAAAACAACGCTTAAAATGAAACAGGCTGTTTTACAGTTGATCAAAAGTTTAGGACCACATGCCTTTAAAAGGCCAAATCTGTGCAAAAATGTGGATTCATTGTCATTTTCTGTGAGGTAGTCACACTGTCGTCACGTTCTGATGGCAAAGGCAAAAAGAACCCTTTCCCTTTTTGAACGTGGTCAAGTTGTTGAACTGCATAAGCAGGGTCTCTCACAGTGCGCCATTGCTGCTAAGGTGGGATGCAGTAAGACAGTCATTTGGAATTTCTTAAATGATCCTGAGGGTTATGAAACGCAAAGGTCAAGTGGAAGATGATCCCGATGGTTTCCAACATTACTGCCGTGACAAGAGGTGTTTTGGATGAAAACACTTGCATCAAGCATACCGCAACAAATTTTTGCATTAATCAATAATAACGGTGAAGCTACTCATTGCTGAGTTCATATTTGAAACTTTGATTTCTGTTTTGAGGTAGTTTATGTTTTTTGGTTGTGTGGTTTTTTCTTTTTGTTTTTTGAAGGTGTGGTCCTAAACTTGTGATCAGCTGTAAAACAGCCTGTTTCAGTTTAATCGCTGTTTTCAATTAGTTGCATGCTTAAAAAAAAATGTTTTGTCTCACTCCCATTTCTTCTCGTTGTATGTTGAAGCTCTACTTGGAACCTTGTTAAGATCCAACCATGCAAAATATGATATTTTAGCCATTTTTCAAATGGTCTTAAACTTTTGATTGGGACCACATTTTCCACAAATCTCATCTTCATTTAGACTGATTCTCTCCTATTGATCTCTAAGCAACTCTAACACTTACATCATGTAAACTATCCAATCTCCCCTCAGCTCTTCAGTGAGGTGTTGTTGTTATAATTCATTTTAAAATTGTAAATATGATCAATTTATTTGGCTCCGTACCACAGGGCTCTAAGGTGACTGCAGTTACTTACTACCTGTAAAGCATTCACTTGATCCAAATGTTTTAGCCACTTACAGGCCAACCTGGCCTTTATTTCAAATGCTCAAGAGTTCTTACAAATTAGTCATTTGCAATAATTTGCATAGGAATTGTTTGTTTGAACAATTCCAGTCAGGATGTCCCTAATTTGAGAATGTTGCAATATAAAGCCCATTGAAATGACTGTTGTTGCCAGCTGGTGCTGCATATATAAACTTGAATTGATTTACCCTTAAAGATAGGGCTGTTTTTCTATGAAACTATGAAAACAGCAAAGTAGGATTTCGATTTATGCTTGGTTGAGTCTTTAGGGATCATGATGATTTAGGAGCAGGGTTTTTCCTGGCTCCAAACGAAAATCTGAATACTGCTCAAGTATTGAGATGTACTACTTTATTTAATTTCTGGCCTTTTAATAAACATGTGTGTTTTATTCCAACCCCTTTTATCGCAGGAAAGGGCTTGATGAGTAATGTTTTTTTTTGTGAATTAAGAACAGAGTAACACTGGTGGTTGGACTTGTTTTGCAGGATGTATTGGTCATTCATGATGTTAACCTTCAAAGCTGTCTGTGAAAATAATCCAGCAAAACTGTCTGATGCCAAAAGAAACCAATCTGTGATGAGTGTTTCATTGTATGAGTACAGTTACAGTTTATATTTAATTCACTATCAGTGTTTTTATCTAGTGACCATCAGGGATGGTAAGTACTTGGGTTTTACAAGAAAAAAAATAGTCTTGAACAGCTGAAACAGACTCCGAGAGAATTCTTTGTATCTCCTCTGACTTATCTTTCTATATATATCTTTAGTGATTTATTTGCACGTAAGATTTTCTTTCTACATTCCTTAAAGCCTGTGACAAGTTTCCCTTCCAGTTTGGGGGTGCAATCACTGAAAGACAGTATTAACCTAATGACTGGGTTACAGCACAAATTGTAAAAGCTTTATTTTGTTCTTCCAGTTTTTTCTCAGATACCCTGTAAACTTGTATTGGTTTTTGTGTGTGCTCTTTCTGCAGACCTCTCACTCCTGCCTAGTATTTCAGTCCGTTCTGTGGCCAGAGTACTCATTCTGGAACCTGTGTGAAGCCATTCTGCAGTATCAATTAAATCACAAATCCATCCAGGTAAGGATAATACTGAGACAGAATTAGGGTTTACTCACACTGTGTGAGCCACGCGGTGTGTCCGAGCGCATTTGAAAAGAGTCATCACTCATGTTAGGTTAAGTAACTAGTTCAGGTTCACTCATGGAATTTCAGTCTTTTCCCAATTAAAGCTATCTCCATGAAAATCTGCATTTAGTGATGAATCTATAATGTGAGGGAACCCTGAGTCACAGCTTCCAAGAACTGCCCCAGTTAAACAAACAAATGTGCTCTCCCAGAGTGATTTTCAAAAGCATGTGTGCACGTAAGAAAGAGGGAACGAACATGAGAAAGGAGTTTATTTGTTTAGACCAGGGATGTCAAACTCATTTTACATTGTGGGCCACATACAGCCCACTTTGATCCGAAGTAGGCTAGATCAGTGAAACTCACTATAAGAAAAAAGAAGTGCAGTCTCAACAGTATGTGTCAGTTTTTCGTGTTTAGTTTGAATACTCCATAGCTTTTTGTCCCCAGAGTTGGAAGGGCTGTGTAGAGTGAGGCAGTCGAAGAATACGGTGTGTTTTTGGGGTCATCATGTTTGTTATTTTTGGCCTCCTTTATTTCCTTGCTGGGAAGGATCTAAATGTGACTAAAGGTCCTGTATAACTAGAATAATATTATTTAGAAGCAGCACAAAAATGTACTTTCAGATGTCTAATATAACTGAACCATACTGCTCTTTTGGTTTTGAACCTAATTGGACTTAGCTGTTTGGGTACTACTGTAGTTATGACCCCTGTCACCCACTGTCGGCCATGCTCTGCTTTTCATTAATGTGATGGCAGCTGACTGTGTCAGCTCCATGTTGCACCCTGGTCGCTGTTATGACTGACTCAAAGGCCGCAGCAAAGAAGAATAAAGAGAACAAATATTTATTTAACTTAATAGGAATAAATGTGTCAGTATCAGTGGCTTAAAGAGGTGTATGGACTTGTTGGCAAATATGTTCAAGTGTAAGTGCAAACACAGGGAAACAAGTGAGACACGGGGCATGGATACGGTTCATGATTATGACTGCATGTCTTCCCTGCATTTTTGTGAGTTCTTTGGAACAGAACTTCCAGCTGCTCCCCCCACCCCAAAGGGATCACTACAATGGAAAGATCCCCATGTTTGATTTGGCACAGAGGTTGCAATTTTTCTGATGAAACCCTCCATTTATCAGAGCTTTTGGACAAGCACTATGAGTATACTAGATTGTGACACGCTGGCACTTGGTTAGTTGTTTTGGAGAATCATAAGCAGCTGTGTTATGCATCCCATATCTGAAAAGGGCTTATGTTTTGGCTGTGTGAGTTGCAGGTTCATCACTTGTTAACCGTAGCAATTAATGTAGATCAGTGTTACTTTGTGAAACAGTGTTGTTAAACAGGCAGAGAAAGATTAAAGTAACTCCTGTATCTATGTATATATTTAAATGTATGTCTAATTTGGTGTGTTTGTTATTACAGAAAGCTAGAGACCTCCATCGAGAGCATCAGGCTCTGCAGCAGCTAGAAGCAGATCGTGCTTGTGTAGCAGAGCTCTTGCAGCATCACAGCAATGGAAAGCCCGTCGATAGCCAGAGAAGACAAGAGGCGCTACTACACTACACTTCCTGCCGGGAAGAACGAGTTCGAGACTTCCTAGAAGCACTGAAGCACAAAAGAGACTCTTTCTTTTCTGACTTATGCAGTGAATCCTTGTTGGCCTAAGAATACATAGAAGAACAAATCCTCTGAAGCGGGGACGAAGCCTCTCCTATATCCTCTTCCCAAAAGGGCTTCTGTGGAAAAGGGAAGAGCAAGCAGTAACTGGGAGCGGTTTTATTTTGTTGCTGATTCATATAAGAGGGCAGTTTTACCCCTATGGGGCTGTAGAATAATCCTGCTATTTATGATTGTAGATTTAAAAACTCTAATAGGTGGAAATGACTGGTCAAGATGTAGTTAAATCATCGTATAAACTGTCAGTTAAATGCATGCCGTTGAACGGAAGGTCATTTTATGTGAGTGAAAGCCACGGATCCTGTGTTTTGGTTCCAAAACATTCGTCCACAGAACTTTTAAATTGTTGTTGAAGCATAAAGTGTTGTTTGTTGACTGTGATTTTGATTACATAACTATATTTTGACCAGCTTTCTGGAACAAAATAAAATGATTACTGTATGTCAGATATGATTAAATGATGTGAAATTCTCTGTTTTGTACTTACATACTACAAGTCTAAGCTTTTGTCTCCATTTGGCTTCCAAAATATGGTTATCTATTGTCTTAACTTGTGCAGCAAAAAATATGTGTGTGGTCCATGCTGCTGATATATATGGACTCTCAGGGGGAAAACTGGTGATGGTGTTTTATTGGATTAACGAGTCGTTTTTGCAAGTAGATGACTTTCAGCACATAAAAGTGTACCTATATAATTTCTGCTGCTACCTGTTGGAAGTATTGAGCCTTAAAGCTTATCAACTACTAATACGCTATGTATTGCAAAAATTTAAATAACTGCTTGTAATTGCTATTCTGCATCTCAGTTGGTGGTATATCACAAGCAAAGAACCACTTTTACTTTTTTCCAGCTGGATGTTTGTTGGGTTTTGTTTATTTGGGAAAAAATTGAAGAAAAAATGTCCCAATTCTATCCAAGAAGTCCTCAGTCTTTAAATCACAAACTCAAATGCAAGACATCTCTTCATCAAATCATCATATTTGGATCTTGTCCCTCCAGAGGAAACACTTCTAGGAACCAATTTTATTTAACTTGCATCATCTATACACTGACAGAAGAATTGATAAACTTTGGTAGAACTAGAAACACCATACTATAAACATACTGCCCCACAAAAATATGCTTATATACACATACATAGGTATAAGCATGAATTTATACTACTCATCAGGCGTACAGTACTGGAATATTACTACTAATGCACAGACATGTGAACAGTATTTTAGTGTTGAATAGGTATCCTACTTTTAGCTATTTAATATATAGTCAGATAGCTTAAAATCCACTAAACATCTACCAGTTACAAATTGTATGTCTGTATTAGTATTTCTTCACACAACGCTTGGTTTGACCCTCAATCCCTCAGGTAATAATAATAATGACTAAATGTTGATTTCTGGTTTTACACAGGGCTAAAATTACAGTCTTACATGCCCAAGCCAAATAGATATATTCATCCACCACAAGCTGACAGAAAGCACCATAGTCTAATCTTCACCCGCGACCGTCTTTTGCCTCAAAGCTATGACATCAAACAACGTGATTGGTCAGTTGCAACGCAGGGATATTAAATATACCATAAAATTTGGTTCTGGCGGACTTTGCGAGCAAAAAATTGTTCAGTTTATCCGATAGACGGTGAGAAAAGGTGCAACGACTTTGACGCGCCATTATCTGCGTATTTATTTTTTCGATTACAGCAGAACGAATCAGTCGTTCATACAGCGCCACCCCGCGACTATAATCCGTATTCCTTCAAGTTGCCGTCTGCCTTTTTAACAAATGGGAGGCGCCTCCAACCCACGTGACGCCTTTCTATCCAATGGCGAGATTCGAAACACAAAACTGGTTCAAACCGGTTTCGTTCTTATATTTCAGTGTATAAACTACAAGAACATTCGTTTGCATTATACATTCGCCATTTTCCGCTGTGAGCGCTTGGTTGGCGTCTGTTATCGCTTCGAAAAAAGCCATTTTCGCAGCTGTATTTTCCTGACATTTTTCTTCGTTTCCCGCTGAGAACATGGGCAAAGCAAAGGTAAAAAAAACATGAATTTAAATTTAATTTAAGTCTGTGTACTGGAATCGTTTTCGTAGCATTAAGTTAATACAAGACTGCGCCTGATATTTCTGCTTAAGAAGAACGTCATCATCCCTAACAAGCGTTTTAGCAATGGCGGTCTGACAGTGGAGAGGAGCGCAAGCATCCTCCCACTCGTCGAAAACAAAAGTTGAAATTTTTGCTCATGGTTTAAAATTATTCTTATGAGTTAAACGCGCACAGTTGCGTGTATTTCTGTTATTTTTTGTCTTCCAGCGCCAAACTCTGGTTAGTCCAGCCGTTGACATTGCGTTGTGCAAAATTTCTGACACCATCTTTTTTCCCCCCCTCTCTTTGGCAGTAGGCAGGGCACAAATCTTGCTGTTGTAAACGCAGTAACAAACTTTCGATATGGACAGTGACTGTTTTTCTTTATTCTTTTTCTCAACCTGCGCGTCGATGCTTGAATGCATAACTTGGGATCCGAATTAATGAAGATAAATATGAACTGCGCCGTTATCAAGCAATCAAAATAAGCTCGAACGCAGGCTGCAAATTTGAGGAAGGAGTTGGGGGAGGGGAGGTGGCGATTATTATTTTTTTCCGCTCAGGTTTTGAATAATAAGTGCCAGCCTGGTTCTTGCATCGTCGTTTGAAATGGGTTTGTTAACAGTAGTAAATATTTATTAAAAACGTCAAACGTGATTAGATTGTAGTTTGCAAGTGCGCAGCAGGAAAAAACGTATAAATACAAAAATAAGATTTTTTTTTTGCACATTTGTGTGCGTTTTGTCGTATTTTGAATGCATTAATTTATGGTGCAGTGAGTGGCCATACTATTAAAAAAATGCATATTTAACGATTTAAAATTAGATTATCACAGGATTGTTTGGGGTGTTTTTCGATGAAAATCTCAGTCTCATCCGTGATTTTTTTTTTTTTTTTTTTGTCTTCCTTGAAACCTCTCCAGGCATTCGTTGAGCTCCATTTGTCGTGTAGGTACAGATTAGTAAAGTAGTAATCTTATCAGTTTCCCAACAGCTGTCTGTAGGCGCGCACTGATACAAAACAAAGGAAGCTGTCAGGGCGCCAAGGCGGTGTCATGGTGACAGGACTGCCCAAATTTGAATTCAAATATGCGCGGGAAAGCTCTTTGTGAACTTGAAAAATCAAGAGCAGTGTTAAAAAAATGTAATATATATTAGATCTTCTGTGAACATTTTTATATTAAAACAATGTAAAATAGTGCACACAGAAAAAAAACAAAACGTTTTGTGCTATTTAAATCTGTATTTATTATTATTATTATGTAGTTTTACTTTTCAGTTTGTAATGTTTTCCCCTTCCTTGTCTTACAGGCACCTGCTTCCTCTGAGGTTTGTCTAAAATGAATATATTTTTATATTGTGTTGATGCAGCAGTTGCATTTAGAATTTGTGGGTAAATGCTTGTTTTTGATGTATCGTTTGTATGTTTTTTGCCACTGATATAATATATTTTGTGCCCTTATTTAGAATGATTAGTTAATATATTTATTCAAACTTTACTCCCATTTTCATCTCTTTTTTTTTGCTTTTGTTTTAACTTACTTTTTGCAATTGCATACTCTTTAAAGGTCATGTATAAACAAAGCTATTAATATTGATGCAAAATAAGACACTGTTTTAACTTTCACTTCCTTGTGGCTCTACAGCCTAAGAGAACCTCTGCACGGCTGGCATTAGTAAGTTCTTTTTAAACACAATTAAGCATTTTTAGATGTACTCAGTATATTTAATGTGCAGTATCCTGTCGTTTTTGTTAAATGTTCACTCTTTTTTGTAAGAAGCAACCACTTGAAATTGAAAGTGAAGTAGTCTATCATGTGTGTATTAAATTTTAATTTTACATTTTTTAAGAATATATTAAAGGTTCTCTTACACTCTTACCTAATGTGACATGAGGATGTAGCCCATGATCAAGAAGTTTATTAACTTGTAATAAGCTTTTATTACCTAGGATTTCACGGATCTATATTCTGTTATCTCAAACTGATTTAAATATCTTCTTTCTTGTCTTGTAGAAACCGAAACCTGCAGCAGTGGAGGCTAAGAAAAAGGCTGTTGCAAAGGTATAGAACCAAAATCTTGCACGCTTACTATGGGGGAACAGCTCTGTAAGATGTTTGCCACATGTTTGCTTGATTCATTTCTGTGATTAATTTGTTATTATCATTTTATTTTCTAGAGGGCACCCAAAACAAAGAAAGCCAAACCCGCTGAGAATGGGAGCACCAAGGCTGAGGTTTGTTTCTGTTACACTGCAAATTAATAAATGTTAGATCAAACAGATGTTCTTATATTTTCCAGGTCGTTCCTCCTTTTTTTTTTATATATGTTATCTTAACTTATTTGCTTTAATTGTTCATGAGTTTAGTGCAAAGGTAAATTTGAAAAAAAAAAAAAGAAGATTAAATGAGTAAAAAAAAGAACTAGATATTAAAAAAATGATGTGTATGAGTTCTGGAAACCTGTGAGGCAGTTATTGTTTTATTTGTTCTCATAATGGATAAGTGTTGCAAGGACTCCTTTTAATATAATCAATAAAATTAAGAATAAGTTGTCATGTGACTAAAACAATGCAGTTGACATTGCTGTTGGCATGTTTTTTGTTTTTCTGTCCGCAGGAGCCCAAGGCTGAAGCCACTGAAGCCAAATGAATAGTGGTTGATGTGCTCACTCTGTGTACTTGGTGATTGTACAGTTTTAAATAAGTATTTTTTACCAAGTTTTATATTACAAATGTCATTTATAGTTTTGTTTTTGGCTTGCACTTGATGTAACAAAATTTTGTTTTCACATTCATATCCATTTTATATCAATTTAAAAAACGGATACCGTCCATATCCTGTAGTCGTGGCATTTTTTTAGTTTGTCTAATCCAGATTTGTTTTAAACTTCTAAACAACAGATGTAACAGCTTTTCCAACAAGTTGGATTTTGAATCTAATTGTAAACATAAGGCAGCTAAAGCATAAAATCTTGCAGGAGAATATGAATTTGCCGCTTATCTCCTTGTAGTTTAATGTTGAACTAATAAAATTATTGCTTTCCAAATGTTTTAAAAACATTGTATGTTGATGTAAAATGCCACAGACAAAAAAAAAGAATACTGTTATTAGGTCAAAAAAAATGTTTAAGTTTGATGCGTCCCAAAAAAATGGCTGATGTGAACCCAGTCATCTGATAAAAACTTCTGTTAAGTTATGTTTCTGTTTTCTGCTTTTCTGACTCCAATGGTTGATCTTAATGTTCTTGAATAAAAATTTTCAAAATGTCCTTTTTGGGGTCACTGTTGAAATGGAAATCCTCGATGAAGGAGCAGAAAAATGGAAATGCTGCGACACGACGTTTGAAAAGGTGATGCAGCGACCTTGAAAAGGTTTCATCATAAACAAACTGCAGGCTCCACCATTTTGGCAGGACATCCATTTTAGTTTACATCCATGGGGTCTCGTCCCTACTTGTGACTGCTCGGGTATTGCTGTTAGGCTTGGCTTTCTATTTTCAACAGGCTAGTTAATTTTCACACTTCTCTATGTGGAAATGTTACTGGTATAATTTGTAATTTAATGTAACTTGTTACTAAATTATCACCCAAGGACTGGCACTTAAAGGTTTTAAATATTTAAGGTTGTCATGTAAATGAAATTTTAAGCAGCTGCTAGTGGTTTTTTGTACCTGTTTTGGGTATATTTAAACTTGTTAGCACTATAATGAGAGAAAAAATAAACCTTAAGACAAGGTGATCTCATTGCATTAACCATTAAAATACGCAAAGTGTGCCGTGTAAATGTTTATTGGTAACTTGAGCAATCATTAATGTAGAGCGCTAGAAAAATATTTTATTCAAGTGGAAGTTATCTCACAAAAGCCTGCAACGCCTTAAAGCTATACACTAAATGAACAAATGCCACATTTGATCACCACCTTAAACACAACTGTATATTACTGTCACCTAAAAACTACATAAACTTAAAGAATACAAAATTTGCCACTTAAGTCCGATAAACAAAAATAATCAGTGTATAGTCACAGATTCATTGATGAAATTATTCCATTTACCTTTAAACTTAAAAGTACCTTTTAATTTTGTATGTTTTTAGCTTGTTCTTTGCTCTTCCACATTTTGTATTGGAGTGAGTTTTAATTTTCACTTCAATTGGAATATTTTACATAACATAACATAACTACTGGATGTTGATGCTTCAGGGGTTTACACCTCTGGATATCCTCATCACTGTCTTTGCTCCATAGCACCAGCAGGAGTCAGTGCCACATCACCACAGAGAGATGAGGTGCATTTCGTTGTTCCTGCGGGGGTCTCCCTCTCCTTTGGCCTATACAGCTCCTGAAACTCGGTCAAACATGACGCATTATTGAGGGTGCTGACGTATCTCTGAGGATGTCATCCCTTTTTTTAGGCTAGTGTATTAGTGCTTCTATACAGACAAAGCAGCAAATGATAATAATATTCAGATATGGTGCAGGTTTAATCTTTCTTTCTTTTTCTTTCTTTCATTCTCAACAAGCAATATAGAGCAAGGCAAAAGTACAGTTGATTTTATTAGTTTCAATTATTACAAAAATATGTGTAACAGGATTACCACACTTTTCAGAGTAATGCTCAGTATTCATTGTTGAATACAAATCTGTACAAAATACTGGCTTTTGATCTGAGAGACAGATGTTTTCATGGAAAATGGAAGGCTGCTCATTTACATCCTATGCGGTGTATTAATGTTTATGCCATGCATCAGTTTATTATTATTATTTTAGTCATCTTCTCTAAAGAGATATGCTGTGTGGCTTGCAAAAGTATTTGGCCCCCTTGAACTTTCCCACATTTTGTCACATTTCAGCCACAAACATGAATCAACTTCATTGGAATTGGAATTCCACATGAAAGACCAATACAAAGTGGTGCACACGTGAGAAGTGGAACAAAAATCATACATGATTCCAAACATTTTTTACAAATAAATAACTGCAAAGTGGGGTGTGCGTAATTATTCAGCCCCCTTTGGTCTGAGTGCAGTCAGTTGCCCATAGACATTGCCTGATGAGTGCTAATGACTAAATAGAGTGCACCTGTGTGTAATCTAATGTCAGTACAAATACAGCTGCTCTGTGACGGCCTCAGAGGTTGTCTAAGAGAATATTGGGAGCAACAACACCATGAAGTCCAAAGAACACACCAGACAGGTCAGGGATAAAGTTATTGAGAAATTTAAAGCAGGCTTAGGCTACAAAAAGATTTCCCAAGCCTTGAACATCCCACGGAGCACTGTTCAAGCGATCATTCAGAAATGGAAGGAGTATGGCACAACTGTAAACCTACCAAGACAAGGCCGTCCACCTAAACTCACAGGCCGAACAAGGAGAGCGCTGATCAGAAATGCAGCCAAGAGGCCCATGGTGACTCTGGACGAGCTGCAGAGATCTACAGCTCAGGTGGGGGAATCTGTCCATAGGACAACTATTAGTCGTGCACTGCACAAAGTTGGCCTTTATGGAAGAGTGGCAAGAAGAAAGCCATTGTTAACAGAAAACCATAAGAAGTCCCGTTTGCAGTTTGCCACAAGCCATGTGGGGGACACAGCAAACATGTGGAAGAAGGTGCTCTGGTCAGATGAGACCAAAATGGAACTTTTTGGCCAAAATGCAAAAACGCTATGTGTGGCGAAAACTAACACTGCACATCACTCTGAACACACCATCCCCACTGTCAAATATGGTGGTGGCAGCATCTCTTCAGCAGGGACAGGGAAGCTGGTCAGAGTTGATGGGAAGATGGATGGAGCCAAATACAGGGCAATCTTGGAAGAAAACCTCTTGGAGTCTGCAAAAGACTTGAGACTGGGGCGGAGGTTCACCTTCCAGCAGGACAACGACCCTAAACATAAAGCCAGGGCAACAATGGAATGGTTTAAAACAAAACATATCCATGTGTTAGAATGGCCCAGTCAAAGTCCAGATCTAAATCCAATCGAGAATCTGTGGCAAGATCTGAAAACTGCTGTTCACAAACGCTGTCCACCTAATCTGACTGGCTGAGTTTATTATTATTGACTCAGGGGGCTGAGTAATTACGCACACCCCACTTTGCAGTTATTTATTTGTAAAAAATGTTTGGAATCATGTATGATTTTTTTCTACTTCTCATGTGTACACCTCTTTCATGAGGAACTCCAATAAAATTGATTCATGTTTGTGGCTGTTCAGAATACTTTTGCAAGCCACTGTAGGTTAGATACCACAAAACGACAGCGTGCACTGTAAACCACATGGATCTGCAGGAAGCCGGGCCAACAATAAGAAGTCCATTAGTTATCTCTTAATTACGTCTCCTTTGGTAGTTTGCTTGTTTATCACCAAATATACAAAATTGTTTTCAGCAGATAAAATACAATGAATGTGTTAATGCAGGAAAAAACCCTCCATCCTGCTTGTTGGGATCATATGTGGTCATATATATAATGGCCTCCCTACACTGTTAGGTAACCACATATGTCACATCACTTAACTGTTATGTCACTCCTGTGTTAATGCCTGGACGATGCCTTGAAAACTATGTCAGTGGGCAGCAACAAATCACCTAAGATAAGGGGTTAGACAAGAGGGCGACCCTTATTAAACTGCAACTGAAGATGATTAATAACACAATGGAAACCACAGGTATATTTAACCATGCCGCAGCATTTTAAAGTTATAAATCAAATTTAATGAGATAAGCCCACAATTTTTCTGCTCCAGAGCACATATGACACAAAAAGATGGAGAATGAAGTTTTCCTGCAGCTGAAGTAAATTAATAGCTTACTGATTTAAATTACATGGTAACTCGACGTGTGCTTTCTCTCCCAGGTAAGGAATGCTCGTGACCCCAGCCACCTCGCACAGGAGGTCATTTATTCAAATCACTGGTTCAAATCCAAATGCAACTGAATCCTTCTTAACTTTATCACCTTCTACACTGCAAACACTAACATAACAGAAAGAAAGTTACAGTTTAATTATGTCCAATAATGTGAAATAATGACATTATTGTAAAATAATGTAACATAAAAAAATATCCGACTGTGTTAACCAAAATGACTCGGTGATTAATACAGTCAGGAAAAGACAGGCTTTCATGTTAAAGCTGATTTAGTTCTGAACTAATTATCTCATCAGACTTATTTCCCTTCTCTACCTCAGTGGTTTTCAAAGGTTTTCCTGTATGTCCCACTTCAAACACAGAAAAGCATTCAGTCCCCAAACCCCCAAATTTCTATCCATCATTAATGCAAAAAAAAAAAAAAAGAAAGAATAAATCTGTCTGCACAGCAACATCAGCACCCCTCCACCTTATTTGGTAAAAGTTTCTTCAAAAGTCATATTCATTTGACTTCATATCACTCCATATAAAACCTACAGCGGCTCTGTAGGGCCTGCTCTATAGTTTGAGAAACACTGAGTACCAGATGAAGACAAATCAAGACAACTTATCTCTAAAATGTTTCCAACATTCTTCTAAGGGTTATGCATATTTCATGTGACAAGATATAAGGCCATCAAAATTAGATATGATGACTCTCCTGAATGCCCTCATTTGTAGTGTTTTAGGTCATTTTTCACCCATAATGTCAACAAAAGCACCTACATTTTCAGTCCACCTACATGGCAAAAAGTACCCAGTTTAGAGATCTTTTTTTAAGTGTTTGACCTGATATCAATGTGATTGTTCAGAGTCAAAAAGAAACTTTTAATCCAAACTTGTTCAGATTCTCACTGCCAAAAAAGCAAATTTCACACTAGTCACAAAAGCTGAAGTAGATGTTTTAATCTGACAAAAACATGCAATGAAACCAGCATGTAGTGAAGATGATTGTCATTAAACAATCAAAACAACTTTACGTCAGTCTGATTTCTAAACATTTTGCAAATGTCATATACGGTATGGACAACAAACACTTAAAAAAAATCTACAAAGTCATATTTTTTGTTCTTTCAAAAATAATTTAAATATGAGGGATATTGAGCATATAGACATTTTTATGCTTTACTTCACAAATTTAATACCAGCCAGCCTATATATTACTACAGCCTCTCCGTTTGTTTAGTGTTCAAACCTAAAAATACCCCGAAGCGTATGCTACACATGGCATGTCCGGGTACCTACAGTCTGTTTTGCTGTTACATAAAACAAATCCATAAATCGCAAAGACAAAATGTTCCAGCGCTAAATACGAGCGCACATATAGCGGACGAGCCCATTCCTCCTAAACGTGGGGGTCT